TTTTTTCTTCTCCCTTTTTTTTTTTTTTTTTTTAAAAAAAAATAAAATCAGAGAGGCATCCTATTTCCCTCTACACTTATCTTAACTGCATGACCAGTTTTTGTCAGCCGTTTTATGTCAGCAAAACGGCGCATCTGCTTGTCCACACGAGATAGACCCCTCTTCATTGGGCCCTTAGAGACAGAGACAGAATAACAGAAATATTGTTCCACTAAAGTAAACTTAAAACTTTAAATTTAATAAAAAAAAGTTTGTGTTGATAATTAAAGTTCAAGAAAACAAAAATAAAAAAAAATGAACCATTCGTGTCAAACAGTGTGTCTGTCACACATCACACACACTCAAAAAGCTGTTCTCTGGTATTAAACCAGTGGCTCAGCTTAACACACTAAATTTTACACTAGAAATGCAGAAGATCCATGACAAAGGTTAGAAAGTAACAGGAAACGATATGAAACCTTGTATATATCCAGCAATGACCTGTTGCTAGAAGGAACAAATCCTGGGGCTAGCAGAGTGATTTCGCCTTAAGGCCCTTAATCCCCATTGCTCCAGGGGCTGAGTGATCCTACTCTATAAACTACACTTGTACATCACTTTGGATTGTAAATTATTATTTGATACACCTTTACCAAAGTCAACCATAAAATACTGTGCTCAAAGGTTAACTGGCTCTAAAAACTGATTATCTTCCATTTCTCAGCAAAATAGGTTGGTAAGCAGGGCATTACTGCTGCTAAACTAAATCCAAGATGCTGTTAGTCATAGAGAACATAGAACATAGAGAACTATGTTTGACTGAATAATTAGATTAGAGATGAACATGCTTAGGCTGTCAGTGTATCATTTCCAGGCCAAAAGCATGGAGTGGCACATGTAGACACCCTGATGCTACAGGGGCATTCGATTGCCTTCCACACTGATCTTGACAGCACCCTAAAGTTTGCACAGTTTTCTTTGTTCTGCAAAACGACACTCGTGCTTCTCCAATCTGTTTATCCCCTTTCTTAAGCCCATCTATTGGAACCAACCAGACCTCAACTGCACCATCATAATACAAAGAGGTAGCTTAACAGTAGCAGTGACTATCACAGAAACATAATACACCTTCTTAAAACTTAATATGCTCCAAAATTTTTATGTTTAGGAGGAAAAACAGCATGAATACACCCAAATGTGCTACCATTTAGTGATCTGGGAACTTACCCGATTAGCTTCTACATCCACATTCCACTTCGGGCGAACTACGTAGTCTTTATTTGATGGCACTGGTACCCTAGCATGGGCACAGAACCCTGGATCACCAGGTCGGAGTGCCCTGGGGTTCGAAGAGACCAGCTGTTAGGTCTTCAACTTAAGATGCACATCATAAGAACATTTACAATTTACAAATGAGAGGAGGCCGTTCAGCCCATCAAGCTCATTTGGGGAGAACTTAACTAATAGCTCAGAGTTGTTAAAATCTTATCTAGCTCTGATATAAAAGGAACCCATGGTTTTAGCCTGCACTACATGAACATCAATCAAAGGAGACTAAAGCATACTCACTTTTCCTCCCCAGTTAACACTTTCTCAAGGTCTCTGCGTGGTGTCTGTCCCCCCGAACTGTGGAGAAAGGACAAGTGATTAAAGAACCATTAAAAAAGTTGCCATCGCCAGGTATTGAGTGCATATGCATACACACAGGAAACAGCATGCGTAACGTATTACACTATAACAGCAACAAACAGTAAAATGTCACCAAGGGCCTGTTTCACAAAGCAGGATCTCTTGCTTAGGAAGATGACTTGTTGGGTTTAAGGTAGTCTGGGCTAAATGGAGTTCATTTTCATTCACTTACATTTAGCCCAGACTACCTTAATCCTGACAAGTTATCCGGCTATGCAAGAAATCCTGCTTTGTGAAACAGGGTCCTACATATCAAATTTTGCACAGTACAACTACTTATAACATAAAGGCATTACAATGATTTTGTACCTAGAAGACATTTTCTTTCTCCTTTACAGCAAAAAAGCAGTAAGACCTGGATTTACAAGTAGTTAAGTCAAGCTATATAGCTAAATCACTGTGAAGGTCAAACATATTGAAGCTAAGCAAATCACAGCTAAAATGCATAATAAAGTAATAAACTTATTATATAGCATATATATAGTTCTGAAATTTTACTATTTCCAATGTACTTGAATTACACAGTTTAAATTACCCTGGCCCTGTTCTGCTCAACTATTAGCTGGTCTTCAAATACTAAAATTTAAAATAATTTATTATACACTTATCTGCCATATCTCAGAATTCCAAAATAATTCAATGTTCAAAACAGGTAAACAATGATGCATTTGCTTGTCAATCAGCAGTACCAGTTTGGTGTTAAGATGTTTTTGGTCATTTGTAATGAATTTGAGGAAGCAAATAAAACAGGATAAACCCTATACAGAATGAAGGTTTATCTCTCTCACACACACACACACACACACAGATAGGCGATCCACATTTTTTCAGTTCCGATCCGATTCCGATACACAACTGCCGATACAGATTCTGATACAAGAGCTCTTTTTACTTTGTTATATTTTATATATTACTTTTTTTAAGCTAGTAAATAGATGGAAAAAAATATTTCATTAGGCTACTACAAACATACATGACGTACTGTTCCACCTCGTTTGTTTTAAGCGTTTTTGAGGCATTTGCAGTTCAATATGAATATCTTCAATGGAAGTACAAACAAGTCTTTTGTTCTTCAGCAGATTATTTAAAATTAACAAATTGTTTGATCTTGGATCAAAACACCACCAGTAAATACACATCTACAAAGTATTGGCCTTATACTCAATAATACAGAAACTGCAATGTAATGCGAGTGAAAATATGTTCAGGATGGTAAATACAATATATAGCAAGCACACTAACATTTTCCCCTCCATGGAAGAAAAATATATCTAACAGCTATTTCCCCCCCATGCAATAGTAAAGGCTGAAATACCTAAAATCTTTAATTCAACATTTTCTCACAACAAAATGCAAGTTGGCCAATTCTGAGATCTACATGCAACCATTCAGAATTTGGAATGAATTACATTAAACACCATGCAATCACACAAAACCTGGGTGGGGAGGAGAACACATCTGCCTCCTGTGCTTTTTCAACCTTCGGCTGCTCATTTTGAAGACTGAAGAGAGGGATAAGTGAGGTACAGCAAAAGCAATGGAAAGAAGGAATTCAAAAAAGGAGCAGGAGTACAACAGGGAAGGCAGAAGCTACAGATAGACTGGTTTTTATTATTCGGTTTAATTTCAGAACAAAATGTAAAATGAAGCAGAAAAAAAAAAACTGGGGAAGGAGCACTTATGCAAGCAATTTACCCAAGATGTCGACGAGTAGGCATCTGCTGGTCTAGATCTCTTTGTTGCCGTTCCTCTCTAGTCATACCTTTGTAGTTGGACGTTAAGCCAAAGATTGGGCGTGACCATTCATCTAAAGACATAACATGTAGATTACACCAGGAGTTCTCATGCACAAAACCTCTTTTTTCTTTACCAAAGGTGGAGTTTCAGCAACTGATATGAATTATGCCTTGGACGTTGTCATCGATTTCAGAAATAGAAATTTAGGTTTATACACTTCCAGTATAAAATAATGCATTGAGAGTACTGATTATGATTTAAATAATTTCATTATTGACCCTTACTGATGAGTTTAAGAGCAAGATCCTTGTTAGGTCTAGATTCCTTGGGATGTTTGTACAGGAACATGACAGCACGACCAATTCCACTGTGCTTCAGAGTCTCTTGACTCACACTAGGTAGCTGAAAAAGAAAGGTTTTCAGATAACAGTGTACATGGTCCAAACTTTGTAAACCCGCAAACAAAGAAGCCCAACACACTACCCCTTGTACTGACTTCCTGTAAAATCTTTAGAAGCTCCTCTCTTATCTTAAGGGCTGGAAGGCTCTTGTCTGGCAAAGGGCTGATCCATTCTTTAATGGCTGTCATCACACCACTGTCTATGAATGTTTCCTTCAAATCTTGCCTGAAAGAAAACACTCACTGCTTCAGATTCAGCCAATAACTGTTGATTAATAATTTTTAATCAATAAGAACCTTACTTCTTCAGGTGCATTACCACAGTAGGTAGCAAGGTAAGCTTCTTTAGGGCTGGCTTCTTCTGACTGTTCAATGTCCTATCTTCCTGTAAACACGAGATACATGAAGTATAGTAAGTGCAGTCATGCAGTGCTTAACAATAGTGATACATCCTGAGAAATGTGTTGTTAGGCGACTTAGTCATTGTGTGAACATCATAAAGTGTACTTACACAAACCAAAAAGTTATAGCCTAATACACACTTAGGCTATAGTAAAAACTTTTAAAAAGTAGAAAAAGTACTCTGAAATAACAATAAGTACAGTATTGTAAATAAACCAGTAACAGTTACTTATCATCAAGTATTATGTATTGCTAAACGTTTACCTCACTGGCAGCACAGTGGGTTTGTTTACACCAGCACCACCAGAAACATAGTGACGTGGTAGTGCAGCGCATTACTCACGAAGTGATCGTAATTTTTCAGCTCTGTTATCTTATGGAACAACTATCGTATATGTGGTCCATCACTGACCAAAACATCGTTATGCAGCATGACTGTATATAAAACAGCTTTCAAAGTGATCTCTAATGAACATTCACATCACATCAAGTTAAATATACCATTTCTTAAACTAATATTTCAACTATATATATAAAAAAAAACACAGAATTCTGCTGTGTATTATCCCAAGATAATAGCAATACCAGCGACTGAAGAACTTAACCTATACTGCTTCAAAGAAAGAATTTCACATTTAATGAATAAGACAAACAACTGTCTGAGAGGTTAGGATTAAAGGCACACACCTCAGCTGCCTCTGTCATCTTGGTGATCATGGCACTGACCACATCATCAGCGTCACTGATGAAAGTTCCCCCATCACGGTTCCGCCTTCGCTTGCCACTTTGTGCTTTCTTCCTAGCCAGCATCATGTCGAAATCTGAAACAAAGCTAGCACTGGAGAAGAAAGAATCAAATGTTTATTTTGAACTACAATGTAGAGAGTTATGTTACAATTATATACAAAGGGATGGAAGTGTAAGGTAACCCCCTAAACAGACAAATTTTTTAGAAAAGGGCCAGAAGTTTTATTTATATAAATATATAAAATATTGTGTGTTCTTGGTGTGACTCGGGCAGTTGTTGTGGCCATCCTGTACCTGTCACGTAGGTGTGATATTC